TTTTTTTTAATTTAACGAGAAATTTCACATTGATCCGTTGCTCGTGTTTTTCGTCACACATTGTTATCGGCACGAGAAAAAAACAAGTTCGTTTCTAACCTCTATAGAAAAAATACTACTACTGCGACAAAAACGTGTTTTCGTACTGGAATAGTAGACACTTCCAGCTATCCAACGCTGCATTCGTTTCCCACCCTACCCCTCTAGGACGCCTTCTGCGCGCGCAGTCTCGTTATTTAATAGCCAGACCTCGTAAGCGTCATTAAGCTCAATATAAAGTACTTTTTTGATCATAAATTCTTTACAATGAGAAAACTTATTAGATCTATGATTATGTAGCTTAATCTGCCAGTTACTGATAGTTCAGATGTTGTGGAATGGAATTGTTGTTAATACATTGTTTCAAAAATCGAATGTGTAAAAAATTCTTAATAATCTTTTTGCGATATCTGATCCATAGTTTAAAAAGTCTAACGGCATGAGAACTATAATAATGAAAAATGAATTTGAAAAATGGAAAGCGTGTTGTACGCATTGTCAGCAACAGACAATTTCTCAAGAGTATAATACGATACAATATTCGATTACCTTCTCTTTGAAGGTTCTACTTAGAAAAGATAACTTGTTGTTAATTGCTGTTGGATTATTTTTACAAGTTATAACGTCAAACTCTTGATTGCGTTGGTACGATAATATATTATATGCGCGAATTTAAGTAATTTTGTAATACTGAAGATGACCTAAATTAAGGTCGAAACGTCTATTTATCTAATTGTTATGTGATTAAAATATAAAATATTAGCTGCGAACATCTTGCGTTGTGGTATATGCCGTTAAGAAATTTGTTGTTTTAAAAATATTAAATAGTTACCAAAAAAAATGAATAATTTAGTTATTTAATAGATAATAATGCTTTTCAATCCAATTAAATAGATCTGAGCTAAAATAGCAACTTTTAAATGGCGCTAGAGCAAATTCTGTTCATGTTTTTAATGGTGTTGAAAAGTTTTGATCGACACACACGCATGCACACACGCGCGCGCGCACGCATGCACGCACACACGTCTCATAATTTACATTTAAAATATTACGGTTTTAGCCAATTGGACTGAAATCACTTTTTTCGTATGATTATTATAGGATCTTTTATTGTTTTCACAAAGGATAATTACCGCATTAATTTCATGAGTGGACCCATTAACTTCGATGTCATTCTGATTTATTGAATTGTCTACGACAAAGGCATGATTTGTTATGCCGCTCGAGATCGTGTACGATATCTGAAACATCATTATAGCAATAACCGATTCGATATAATCTTTTATAGTCTCCATTTTCTTTTTCAAAGAAGAGTATAAAGCTGGCAAAAGCTCTTATTTTTCCGTAAATGATTCATGAATATCATTTTGTTCGAAACGTTATAAATGTTATAAACAAAACAAATGATTTTATTGAAATATCTGAGAATTTAGTTAAATATAGATTTAAAAATAATTATGTTGGACTATATATGAAAATAATTACGTAGCTACAATAATGTAACAAATAAGACCAAAAATTTAAAATAAGCAAAATTATACAATTTGTTATGTTAAAAATATACAGTTTTTTAACATAAACAGATCTGACAAAACTGAATATTTTAAGTAATACAACACCTTTCATCAACGGTATAAAAAAAATGTTTTAAATATTATATAAAGAATGATATTGTAGTTTAATATTATTAACTATAATACATTTATTACGTATTTTTTGTATTGTCTTCACAATCAGTCATAACTGCGGGTAAATTGATTTATTTCTTTTGCTCGGTAATCAATTTAATTTGTATTAATTCGTTATTACACTCGTTCATCTATTTGATTGAAGAACCAATGAACATTTTCACTCTTTAAGATGGTAATAAAACAGGCTCTACATATGTGAAATAAATTTTGTTTACGGATATTGATTATTGTAATTAGATTTTTATAAGTTATAGACATCGTTGAAGATGACTCGAAGGAAGTAAAAACATCCAATTTTGTAAAATTAAAATATGTAAGATCAAAAATATAAGCTGTTGAATAGCACACGAATTATCGCGCAAATTTTACTTTTATTTTCTCAATTTGAGATTTATATTATTTATTATAATTCTCGAGAATTTAAATAATATTTGTTGTTCGTCGACAATATTATTAATAAGAAATTGAATATAAGTAAAATATTAATAATATTATATTATGCCAATATAACTCCCATCCCTTCTTATTATTCTACAATACGAGTTAAGAGGTCTTAATTATAAGAATGCTCAAATATCATAGTAATACTGCAAAAAGGTTTGATATCCCATAGCCAATCAGCTTGAGCATCCAATATAATTAATTATTTTGATAGTTTGACATTATTATTTTCAGATCTATATCTGTATCTGGCTAAATTTTCAAATAGATATTTCAACCGTGTGAAATTATATCTATAAAAGTCAGTTAAGAATTGATCGACTAACGCGCAGTATGCTACGTTATACAAGTAGAATGAATCATTATAATATTATATCAAAATGACTCCAAAATGATTATTAAAAG